TGTTCTGTTGCCCTTCACACAACTGATAAAGAATGTTTTGTGCTTGTGTACATGAGTATAAAGCAGGAGTTCTGTGCACCACAGCCTACTGCCATCCATAAATAAATTCTAGTATCACTATTTTGTTAATCCACAATGTCAGGCACTTGTCAGGGCCTGAACAGAAATTATTTTCACAGAATTAGGCTTACAAGTATCCTGAAATAGTTGTGTAGAGGACACACTGGAATGCAAACATCTGCTAGAACATGCCAAAGATTCCTCTATGGATATACAGCCAACTCTCTCCAGTACCCTTGCCTAGAATATTGAAATTCAGTACTATGTTTACAGCATTAACAGCTGCCTGATTCTAGGCAAAATGAAAACAAAACAGTAAGGTTCCTTGGCCAAGTTCTTTCAGCCTTATGTGAAGGGGAATATCAGTGAATATTACTATCCTGTGTATTAATATGGAAGACATTCATCAACTCCGAATCCTTTTGTAAGCAAAACAGCATGATCCACACACGGGTCAATGGAATCAGGAAGCATGGGCAACCCCAAGGTTTCCAGATATATTTTATTTATTATTTATTTAGGAAGCTTCTATGCCGCCCCATTCGCCAAAGCCTCGGGGCGGCTCACAACAATATAAAAAGACAGTTTAGAAGAAAGTACTCAAGTGAGAGGGACTCTCCCACCCAGATCAATGAAAACAAGCACAGGCCATGGCTGGCTGCTGGGGTGGGAGTGGAATGGAAAACTGGGAAGGGGGAAGGAAAATGCAAGGGAATGCAATGGGAGAATCCTGGGAAAGGGCTTTTCTGAAGAGCAGCCCTCCTACAACTGCACTTGCCGCAATCCTTCCTGAGTTGGTCTGACCTGGAAACAGCTATCCATGCCTTGGTTACATCGCATTGAGATGACTGAGATGAGCCCCACGCAGGGCTGCTCCTGAAGCGTGTTCAGAAGCTTCAGTTGATGCAAAATGAGGCAACAAAGCCTCTAATCTGCACCTGACATTGGGACCACATTACACCCGTCCTGGGATCTCTGCACTGGTCACTTGCTGGGATCAGTTCAAGGTGTTGCTTTAATCCTTCATACCCTAAACAACATGGGCCCTGCCTACAGAAGCATATGCCTGCCTCACGAGGAACCTCTCCAGGTATTCTCATCGGTATGCTCAAAAGAGCCTTCCCCTGTGCTGCCCTCAAACCATGGAACTTGGCTCCTTCCTATTCTCTTGGTCTTTATGAAGGCACAAAGACACTTTTTTTCCAAATTAACTTTTAAACCAGATCATTTCAAAAGTTCTTGTTTTAATGTTGCAAGGTTTTATCATTTTATATTGATGCACACAAGCTTGATGGCTTTTCAGAAGATAAGGCAGTATTTTTTAATTAAATACATTTTTATCTTGCCCAGTGGCCCAAAAGCTCTCTTGTTCTTATCTAACCACATTTTGGTCTCAGGATTCATGCGTGTGACATCAAGCGATGACACTAAGGAGTCATCTGTGTGTCGTAAGGACACACTTGAGTCAGTTCACAGTATCTGCTTTATCTCTGCTCCTCATTTCAAGTATTATAGCAGTGCTAGTTAACAATTTAGTTTTGTTTCAAAAATGGAAGCATGGCCACCACCCCTCTGCAATCCCACCTTATCTAGTCCAAGTGAAAGGGCTGTGGGCCACTCTGACTGGCGATGCGAGGGCTAGCAAGCACTCAGACACTGCGGTGAGGCCGACAAGGGATGAGCTGCACCTGCCACTCCTCTTCTGACCCCCAAGAAGACACACACAAAATCATGAGCCATTAAGTTATTCATACAACCATTAAAGTTTATGCAGTCAGCTCATATCTGGTGAAGGCAGAGAATCCTGAATGTGTTAAAACAATTAATAAGCAGGCAAGCTATTTCAGTTACATTAATTGTTTTATCATGGCACAGGCTCACTGCAACAGCTCAGCTCATAACAACAGTGAACACCAAGTTCTTGAAAAACACAGAACAAAAAGGATGAAAATCCCAACTTCTACAAGACTGCAGTGCTTGAGAAAGGGCCATGGCAACTCAAGCGCCAGCTGATTGCTTCAAGCAGCAAAAGATGGCAGACAGCAGATAGGAATGTTGACAAACCATCAGCAGAGGCTGTAATCATCTGAAGCAGTGTCTATCTCAGTACCTAAATTTCACAGCAAATATCTAGGATCTTTCCATGACATACCTCTACTCTAACAGATGTTCTTTGGCTACAGAGTTTGTACAAAGTAGCCAAGGCCATGAACAGGAATGATTGAAATGACATGGTTAATAGCAACCCTAAAGTCCTACCCACATGACTGTGAAGTTGTGGGCAGTGTGATCCTTCCTAATCTGGAAGGGTCACCCCCCGGAGGGTCATCCTCCACTGCCACCATTCTGGACCACTGGGAGCAGTCGAGCATGAGTTGTGCACAGCTCACTTGCTAGGATGAACATGAAGATGTCCTAATACGATGCCCACTTCCTTGCCCCCAGGGTGTTAGTGGTGCTTTTGGTTGGGAGAACAATACTCTACCAGGACCTCGGTAAGCTGACCTGGGTAAGAAGTGGAAACAGACAACTGTTAAGTTTCTCATTTCTTCCAGTTTTCTTTGGTTCATCCCCCACTTTTCCCCAGTCTTAAGTTCAGTTAGCTCCAAATTTCAAGATGCTTTAAAAGTTTGCATGCATAAGCATTTTTGTACACATTTCTAATAATACATGCATTTCGCAATGCATTTTGCACAAGAGACACACTTTTGCAACCAATGTTTCTAATCTAATGTGCTTTATTATTATTTCTTCTAATAGATGTGATTTTATTGGGGAAAATACAGAGAATTGCAAATTGCCAAGGTGAATGTAGTTTCCACTCACCGGGTGGTTTGAAATCACAGAATTAAGTTAGGGTACAATCCTATGAATGCTTAGACAGAAAAAACGGTTTCTAGCATGCTGATGGGGGAATGCTAGGAGTTATAGGGCTTTTCCGTCTTAAATATGCACAGAATTGCACTCTAAATGAAGATGTTTCTTCCTCACCCCTAGTTACAACCAGTCATACTTGTTCTAGAGACTAAGATAGCTCAAGGATCACTCCACTGGCTACCATCAGTAGCCCAGGAGCAAACCAAAAGAACAGGATGCTGGGTGAGTACAGGAGCCCAAGAAGTGTTTGCAGTATTTCCTAGCAAAAATATAAAATAAATAAAAAATAAAAAAATAAAAATATCCCAATAAATATTTTAGGGACCCAGGAAAAGAGATGAGTGGTCACATTGATCTCCAGCACCCCCACCTCTCTAGCACTGCCACATTGATACAATGATATTACACCCCACTTGCCCTATGTGATAAACAAACATATCAATTTTTCATCAGCCTTACTTCCAGCACCCAAGCACATAGGATGATGGGGCCATAAGACATTTTCTGCATGAAAGCAGCTCTGCCATGCCGGGGAAATGTCTTCGTCTCTGGAATGTCACAAATGAGCACTGTTTTTGACAGCAATTTAAATAGCGTTCTTGCTGACCTGTTCACAATGGGGCAACAGGCCTCTTGGGTTAAGCTGTTCTTACACAGCAGGCCACTTCTGGGAAGTGCCTTAGTCTGAACACAAAGGAAAAGCTCCAAAGAAAGAGATTCTAGGCTCTCTCCCCTACAGAGTCATGATAAAAAGAGTGCTGATTTAATTCAGTTCCATCTGGATAAATGATGCTGATTTAATTCAATTTCCTTCTCTTCACCTTCCATCTGCTTTACCCAGTAGTTTTTGGAAAGCCACACGCTGTTTGTAAAGGGAAAGCATACTAAATGACCAACACACACACACACTCTCCAGTGTATGCAGCATAGCTGTTTCAGCAGATGCGTATCTGGACATTTTAAGAGCATAAAAGAAATTGACTTCCCAAGTGAGATGGAACCCCAGGAACGATGCTGAGCTTCCAACTGGATGGAAGGCTCTGATCTGATGGCAAAGGAATTCACTTTCTTTCTTCCCACTCATGCCCCTTTGGGAGTGAGATCCTTGAACAAATTGCCCTACAGGCACCATTTCCCAGTAAGTTTGTCTTTGCCCATTAAGGAGGACTGCATGGTACAAGAACTTAATCCTACTTGCAACACAAAGAGCAAAGGCCCTTTCCAACATCACCTTTTGAACAGGAAATAACATGCAACATACATGTTGATGGGCACATGTGATTTCTCTGGTTGTGCACACAAGAACACGGGAAACAGCTATCTGTTACCACACAAACAGGTTTCACAGTAAACAACTCTTCTCCACCTGGTGCCCTCTAAATATTTTGAACTTCATATCCCATCTTCTCTAGCCAGCATGTCTAATGGCTAGCAATGCTGGGTATTATAGTCCACAACAGCCAGTCAGCACCAGTCTGGGGAAAGCCACACTAAAGCTACGGGTGGAAAGCCAATGGTCCTTTACATACATGCCTTTCACATTGAAAATTTTAATAAAACACAAGAAGCAGTTACATCTTCAGGCTTCTTTTAGGTATGCCCTGAAACATCAAAACCACGCAAAACACAAAAACAGAAAGTGGGAAACCAGCCCTTAATATTTTGGCAGCAATTCACCAAAGATCAGTCGTGCTTTAGTCCTGGTCACAATTGACTCAGTCAGACTAAGGTGCCACTAACTTTCTAGGGTTGGAGCCCCTGTGCCTGCAAAACACCTCATTTACTGCTCTTTTAGCAAAGTGCCCCTGCCCCCAGCCCTTTCTACACGCAGTCCTTTCTGCAGCAATAGCAATATTTACTGTTATATCTTGGCTAGTATACAAAGCAAAAGTTGGTTACAGGTTCAAGAATCAAAAGAGTGAACTGTTTGCTCGCCATGGGTAAAGTTGACAAGCTTTTCCCATTTCTTGCCTCTGCAAATAAGCAAAGGTACTCTCGGAATAAATGTACCTTTTTCCCCTCAGAATATTTTTTTTAAAAAAAATGGTCCAAAGGCATAAGAATTTTAGGCAGAAATCTTTCAATGTATTTTTTTCACCTTAAAAATATTTTTTTTAAAAAATATACAGAACATCTGAATACAGACGTAGCTTACATGGCTGAATTAGATATAGACAACATTTGAGCAGATTTACAACTTTTAAATTTAAACCCTTTCAAGTCTGACATTCAGTGACAACCATACAGAGGGCTAGCAGCTTGTCAGCCCAATATTAAAGCCATTTTGCAAAATTCTGTTTTATTCTTTCCAAGAGTTTAACCATTCAGAATATCATATATTTGTCCCTACATGTTCAAAATGTCGGACTAGCAGTTTTAACTATACAACATATCAAAAAATATACCAGAAATCCCTCTAAGGGTACATATTTTGCTATTTGAGTAAATTAATAAAAAGGGGAGTGTGTCTTGCATTTTTTCTTGAAGGCTTGTGGCCCTCCCACACAACACATCCATCAGAGGTCACTGTCATATCCTTCCGTTGCAAAACATCTGCATTTTTGAGTGTGCTACTTCAGCCAGTGGATCGAGCTGACCAGGAGGGTGTAGCTAGCAAGCTTGCTTAGTTCAAAAGGAGGGAGGGAGGGAGGGTGGATGTGGGGAGCAATAAACCCACCACTGAACCTCATCAAACTGTTTCACTGGTGTTGTGGGGCATCAGGCTTCTGTCAGTGCTCACAGCCATTGAGGCTGCAATCCTATACACATTTGCCTGGGAGTAAGTCCCACTGAAGTCAGTGGTGCCTGCACCTGAGGAGGCCTGGACAGGGTAGCAAAGCATGTTTCTTAAACCCCGTTTATGGCTGCTGCATAGCGGCTACTTCCCAGATTACAGTTTCCTATGGAGAAATCAATCTCCTTTTGGCTGCAAGTTCACAGATCAAGCAGCTGATGTATGGAGCAGTTTCCCAGTCCAGAGTATTCCCAGCAGAAAAAACCCATGCGTGACACATGACAATGTGCAGGCTCCCAAGGGGCAGCTGAGTCAGTCAGTTCCAACAAAAAAACAAGGAGTCTTACTTGAGAGGCTAATAACTATATTGTGGCATGAGATGAAGCATCCTTTGCACTCGATACATTAAGGTTCATGGAGCCACAACGGTGTTCATGTAGTAGATGCTCTTCAATACCAACACTTATTCGCCTGCAGTGTGCAAATTTGCAGTGTACAAAACAACTTTGATAAGGGTCTGTCGCCTCACCTCGATGGTAATGGCCAGATTCTTCTCAAACACATTTCGACAACTACAACTGTATGAGCCTTTTAAAATGGGCCTAAATTAAGTAAGTCTTATTTTCAGCTATGCAGTGAGTATCAACCTTTTAAGCCATATTCTGTTCTCCTTACCAACATAATCATTCATGTTGGCAGCTCAGAGACCAACACAGTTTAAACTTCCAGTGTGCAGGATGAAAGAGAAAAGAACCGGCTTCTGCCATAGGTTCAAGAGAAGAGGCTGAGGAAGCTTCCACCGCGTATCTGAGGGTGGCTGCACCGGCTCCTTCATCTGCCAATGAGTGGATGGTGGAACGGCTGCTTGTACCACTGTTCTGTCTATACCTGAAATATGGGCAGCAGGACATTTAGAATGCCATTCACCTGGTCACTTGTGCAGGAGTTCCATACATCCCCAACAAAGGAGCAGAGAGGTGGTCTGGGGTTTCCCCGAAAACAAAAACATAACCACAGGGCAGCTGCTTCCACCTTCCCCGTCCCATTCATTGCTGGGAGGAAGAAGCTAGCCACCTGCAGTCAGAAGGGTGAAATCACAACAAATTGGGAATGGCACCCGGGCAGCAAGCTGAGATCCAGCGGCTTGGTTCTCGCAATTTAAGGGCGCAGCTGAAAGAGCAGGGATGTTGATGAGTGAGAGTCAAATCTGCTGGCCTTTGCCTGGGAAAAGGCAGGAGCCAACGATGCAAAGGTTAACTCTGTAATGTCGCATATAGCCCTAAGGCCAGAGTGTAAAGTGAGAAACGGAATAGATTCCTTTCAGACATGTTTACAGCAAAAGATTGGATCCAGCACCTCTTTCCTGCATAAACAGTTAACAGAGTATGTGCCAAGCAAGCAGTAACAAAGCTCAGGGTCACCCGGCCCTGCCACCTGGGGTTCTGGGATGTGCTACCCCTTTTTGCGGCAGGTTAGCTGTGACTGCCCGAGCAAGCTTTCCCCAATAGCCCTTGAAACATCATTCAGCATCTGCTGTGTCTGTGAGTGTGTGAGTGTTCAGAATATCGATTATATAGCTCCTCTCTATGCGTTAACTAAGTGCATCTGTATACAAAGAATTTATACACAAGGATACAAAGGATACATTTCAGATGGGCAGACATACCTGAGCTCCATTCCACGTGGCTCCCCCGGCCCACATTAGTTACCAATTAATAAAGCGCATTTGTAAAAACTAAAAACATTACAGTTTCCCCTGCCCGAGTCCCACGGAGCGGGAAGCCAAGGCTTTGCAAGGCGAGAAAAGAGCGTCTCCACTCCGCTGCGGGTCGCAGTGCATGGTCGGGCGGCGGGGCCTCCGTCCGGGGCAGGCGACGGCCAGAGGGCGAGGGCGGCGTCCCTGAGGGCGTCCAGGGTCCCTGCTTGGCCCGGCGGCCACGGGCTCTCGGTCGCGACGCTCCCGGTAATCCACGGTCAGGATGCGGCCGGCGCAGCACGGCGGCGAGGGGTCTGGGTGCCTACGGCCTCCCGGGCCGGGCCGGGCCGGGTCCCTACGGCGACGAGGCGCGGCCGGGCCTCCTCGGGGCGTCGGGGGCGGTCCCGCCGCTCAGCGTCGAGGCCGTCGTGTCTTTCCCGCTGCCGGGCGCCGTCGCGCCGGGGTCGGGGCCGGTGGCCGGTCCGGGCGACTGCGGCTGGTTCTGGGCGGGCGGCTGTGCGCCGCCCCGCACCGGCTGCCAGATGAGGCTGTAGTAGACGGCCAGCACGATGGCGGCCAGCGAGACGGAGAGGACGTAGGCCAGCACGGTGGCGAGGCGCACCCACTTCTTGTTGGTCTTGGCCGCCATGCGCGCCTTCTTGTCCCCGGTGTAAGTGGCCGGCTTGCCCCGCTCCCCGGCCGCCCCCGCCTCCTTCTCCTTCATGGGGGCGCGGCCCTTGGCCCGGTGCTCCACCGCCCTCTCCGTCGTGCTGAGGCTCCCGAAGGGGCTGGGACCCCGAGGGACGCGCCGCCGCTCACATCACGACATGCCCCCGGGCTGCTGCAGAGGGCAAGGCGGCGGCGGAGGCGGAGGGTGCTCGATGCTGCAACAGGCGGGCCTCGGAGAAGGTGCGCGGCGTGATCGATGGACCCGGGGCGGCAAGGCTCCTGCCGCCGCCTCCGCAGCCCTCGGAGGCAGGGAGGCAGGCGGCGGCGGCGGCTGGGAGGGCTGCTGGCAGCTCGGCCTGGCAGGCGCTGTCCTCGTCTTCTTCCCCGCCACTGAAGCGGCAGTCCGTGCGCGCTCAGCCCGGCTGCCCGCTCTTGCAGGGGAAGCGGGAGCAGCGGTTCCGTGGTGCTAAACTCCCGGCAGAGAGGAGGGAACGGACCCCGGCAGGGCAGGCGGCTATTAAAGGGGCAACGCAGCGAGGACCGGTGAGGGAGGAGGACCGAGGCGAGGACGCGGGGAGAAGAGGACCCCCGCCCCTGCCACGTCTTAAAGCGGCAATGGAGAGCAGGACCGCTGGCCCGTGTCCTGGCCGAGCGCCGAGCGCGCCCGTCGAGGTTCGGGGGGGGGAGCGCGGGGGGGGCCCAAGCACCATCCCTCGCACACCGCTGCCAGCACCCGCACCCGCTCTCTGCCCTGCTTCCCGCATTCTCTGATCCCGAGTGCGAGCGCGGGCGGATTGTGCAAGAGCGCCGGTCATCCCGCCCGGAGCGCACAGAGAGCGATGGTGGCGCAAACGTTTAGGGGGACCGGCCGAAACAAAAGCAAGATGCTTCTCGGGCAGCAAGCCCAGGCATTTTTGAGACGAGGGAGGGAGTCCCGCTGAGTGGAGTGGAACTTCCCTATGCGTCTCGCATGCCTGAGATTGTGCTGAACAGCTTCAGATATTTGCTCCCCCTGCTCACGTACGAAAGCCCTAATGCCGAGGACGGGATCGGGGGAACGGCCGCACTGGTGTGCTCTCGCTGGTCCAGCAGGGGACCGTGCATCACAGTCAGCTTGCAAGTCAGGCAAGTGGACGTCGGCGCTGCACCCTCTTTTGCCAGTCTCTGCCGTAAGGCTCAACGTGGGACACACAGATTTAGTCCTGAAATCATTCGGGGCTCATGGGCAATTTGGATATTGGTAAATATTATTTATTCATTGTATTTCCATACTGCCTTTCTGGGATCACAAAAACCTTTCTGGTTTACAAAAAGGTCAAATATAAACATTGTAATCAAAGACATATTTATTTATACAGGCATGTTACTAATGGACAGCTTTTAAACAAATGCATTTTAAGAAAGGAAGGAAGATTTAATAAACCAAGTTAAAGAGGTAAGAATTTAACACAGAAGGAATGTTTAGTGACAGCTCCGCAGGGAATGTGTTCCAAAGTGAGAGAGCAGCCCAGGAGAAAGTCCCTCTCTGTGCTCTCCCGAAACCAAACCTTTATGAACAAGCTTATCAAGCAGTGCCTCAGAAAGCCAGACCTTTAACCATTTAAGAGCTTTAAAACTTAGGTCTGCCGCTGAGTATGGAAAATCACTGGCAAATGGTGCAGATCTTTTGGAACTGGGGTAATAGGGTCATAAGACTGTGCATGGGTTGGCAACAGCCACTGAAGCTTCAAGGGTTCCCCCACACAAAACCACAGTCTAACTGTGATGTAATCAAGACATGGATAACTTTTCCCAGGTCCAACTGATTTAGGAATAGCTGTAACAGGCACGCCAGACGTTGTGCAAAGGTGCCTCTTATGTCAACTGCAGCCTGAAGATCCAAGAACCAATGAACCGGGTCTTTTGCAGGGAGTGTGATTCCACCCAGAATATGTTTGATTGCATTCCCTGGTCTGGGGATTATAAAGCAAATTAAGGATTAGGTGTGCGGTCAAAACAGGATTAAATGTATGCATTGACAGTAATTACATATTTATAGTAATACTTTTAACATTACATAGATGTACAAGTCCAATTAATGTAGGTATAGGAATCACAGTATCAGAAGGCAAGACTAACTAGAGAAAACAATTATGTTAGGAAAAGCTGAAGGCAGAAGAAGAAAAAGAAGAACATGAGATGGACTCCATAAAGGAAGCCACAGCCTTGAATTTATAAGAACCGAGCAGGGCTGTCATAGAGTCACCATAAACTGGAGACAATTTGACAGCACATAACAGAAGCAACAGCATATACTGAAATATTCACTAGTTTTGCAAAATATTATTTTCCTTACAAAAATCACTATTTGAAGTAAAGGAAAAATATTTCATATTTTCTTTTAAAATTATAATTATAAACTCACTGAAGTATGTTTCACACAAGTCCTCTTGCTGGCTGTTTTGGCCAGTCACAGGCTGTTGAGGTCAAATCTACCTCAACAGTTGGAACTGGAACTTCACCTGTCCAACGTAACAGAAGCTCTAACTGTTGTTTACATGAGCACTTCAGATGACAGAGGAAAATTGAGAGCTCCTGGTCTTGACAGCAGCTAGTTTGTTTTAACATCACTTAAAAAACAAACTAGAGGCTGAAAGAAGTTCAGGAATCTATGTTTGTATTAAAAATTCCTAAACTTTGTGTCAGTAACTAGTAGCCCTAAGCCCAAATCTCACCTGGCTGGCTAATACCAATGCAGGGGCAAGAGAAGGTATATGTAAGGAGAGGCACCTGTTGCCACAGATGGCCAGCAACCACTCTGGGACAGTGACGTTCATCCTTGGCCCTCCACTCTTTGTCTCAAAGTAGCCCATCAGCAGTGATTAACCCTTCTTTTTATGATCTTTTGGTGGAGTTCTTTAGGGGTATCCAACATGGTCAGGCTCATAGCCTAAGCCGCTCTTGAATCTCCAGGAGGTGAAAAGTAACTGTGTACTTCCAGTGGCATCCATAAAAGGTTTCCGAATATGATGCCAATGGGCACCTGATTTTTTTTTCATTTTTTTACATACTGAGGTAGATTTCTATGGGACTCTTACAACTTTCTAGCAATTATATGTAGCATACCAGCAAATATAACCAAATAAGTATCCATTTAAAGTTGACCCAGTCATATACCAAAAGCACTGGTAGTTTCCCCATCCATTGCATTATAGGAGGTGACTGTATATCCTTCCAACTTGGTAATATCAATCTTTTATCTGACAAAAGGATGCAGATAACCTATTTCCATTTGTTAATTTCCACAACGCAGGTAAATGCTTTAAAAGAGTGTGTGCATTAGTGAATATCAAGACTGTTCCAGTACAAAATGTATCTGTACAATGGCTTCCTCCCCAGTAGAAATGTCTACAGGTCATTGCCAAAACATGTTTAAAGAAGCATTAGCTCTTTCACACTGTAGAGATGTTCCAGTGTCTGATAGGTAGCAAATGTTTTTTGCGGAATAAGATGCAGCCTGAGATGCATGGATGTGATAGGCAGATGCTAAAGTGTTGATCCACTGATTAGGCATTCTGTTCTAGTATCCACAACTGTTTCTCAAATGTGCCCACAGGTCCAAACAATGCAAGGACCTCTACTGTAGATGGTAATATGTGCTTTGCTTACATCAATATGTAGTGTAGGCTAACCCTCCTGTATCTGGGAGTCCTCTAGCTTGTTTCTGCTGAGTGGGGTCCTGGATGACTTCCTGAAATCCTGCCCTGAATGTACCCCTTTGCTCCAGTAGAACTAGTTGCTATATGATGGGCTGCTTGGCTTCATTCTGAGGAATTGTACTATACTTCTGTTCATCATCGCCTGACATGATGGCTGTACTTTATTTTCAACAGTACAGTTTGTGGTGACTTAAATATGAATTTATTATGACATCAGCTTTGGCAGACACACACAATCTAGCTATTGTTCTGTATTCTAGAAATTCTTGTTACTGGAATAATACTCTTCTCTGCCTTTTTGAGCTGACCATGAATAGCCACATTAATGCCAATATAGTTTATTTGGAGTAAGTTGCAAACAGTTAGGCAAAGTGATGATGGGGATCAGTGCAATTACTCTCAGAAGTGTTGCTTGTCATGCAATGCAAACTGAGTGAGGTTGGCTTGTTGCTATGGTTAAAAACCACCCACCCTACAACTCTACAACAGCTGATGCAGATGCAACTGGTCTGCATAGGGGAGCTGATATGCCAGCATGGTTTAGTAACCATCCTGTGATCATGCAAACCAGGCCTGTAGTTCTGTAGCTTCTCATAACTACATTGTTAGGGGAGTGATGAGAAGCTGATTTGCAACCATAGGTCCAAAGAGTGGCCAGAGCAGCCTTCCTCAACCTGGTGTCCTCCAGATGTTTTGTAGTGCAACTCTCCGTATCCTGATGGGAGCAGACATCCAAACCATCTGGAAGACACGAGTATGGGAAAGGCTGGATAAGAGCGTTAGCTAACTAAAACAGATAATTTGCACTGTGGTGACGTTATTTTCTTTCATGTTAAAATTCATGAGTACGGACAAAAAAGAAGAGAGGTCAAGCAAAATACAATCATGCATTCATATATAATGGAAAATAGAATATGACTGAATAAAGACTATCAATTGGCAGCGGGGATTCCCCTTCTATTAAGAGACTAATTTTTTTACACAACAAAACTCAAATATCAGCCTCCAGCTCTTTTCTTCTCTTACAAACCTTGATTTTTTCCTTCTTTGTGCCCTGACTGGCTATTCAGAAAGGAACTCTTATTAAGTGGAAATTAGTCTTCCGGTTCCCAGGAGCCCAACATATCTGTCTTAAGTGGGCAATGTTACTGCAAGGGGGAAAGGAGGAGGAGTACCTTTACAGCACAGCCAGTCTGCAAGATACCTGCTAGTGGGACCCACAGCAGCCGGGGGACCTGAAATCATTAATTTCCAAACAGAATGCTCCTTAAAATACTGCATGGCTGTTGCTCGGCAGCCACTGGGGAATCTGGAAAATAAACGCATGAATATAATGCTGGGCTGCAGAGGTACAACAATTATTACAGAATTAAAGATTCTGTAATAACACATTTCTCCATATAGCACAAATCAGTCTTCCACTAATCTGTACCCTAACCTGGGGTACAAC